GATGCACTCTTATTGATTGTGCTTGGCCATACATGTTCATATCCTTGAAGATGTATCATGGGGGTGTTGCAACCTAGAAGACACAAATTTTACTAACAAGTTATAAGTACATGAGTCAAAAATTATGGAAAAGTAAAAGAAAAGATTCTTTCATTGTTCCACGGGAAGTATCTTTCAACTCGCCATCTCCAACGCCCTCCTAGTCTGTCTACAGCAGAGAACCCAGCAGCCCACCGCCAGCCCGGAACCCAGCCCGGGTCTCGGAGCGGCACTCCGCCCCGCCCCTCGCCGACGGAGGTAGGCGGGATGAGGCCCCGGGCCGCCTTACGTCACGTCCGGCGGGGCGGGGCCTGGGGGCTTTCCCCGAGCGTTGCGAGTATCGGTTAACCCCTGCGTGGCCGGGCGGGCGGGAGCTCCTTGGGCCGGAACCCAGGAATCGGGCCTCCCGAGCCACACCCCTCGCGGGACTTAAAGGGGCTGGGTCGGGCAGCAGACAGAACAAGGGAGCGGGCATGAGGCGCTGCCCGTGCCGCGGTAACCTGAGCGAAGCGGAGGCCGGGGCGCTGCCCGGAGCGGCCCGCATGGGACTGGACGCGCCGCGAGGGGGGCGGCGGCGGCAGCCGGGACAGCAGCGACCAGGGCCGGGCGCAGGGGGCCTGGCCGGATGGCCGGAGGGGGGCGGGCCCTGCGCTCGGACCGAGGAGTCCAGCTTGCACCGTGAGCCCAGGAGGGCCGGCCTGGGGCCTGAGCCAGAGACAGACGGTCTTCCGACAGAGCCCTGGACAGACGGACAGGCTGAACTCGCGGCTGTTGGCTTCGGAGTTGAGACGGAGAGGCCCGACCGAAAAACAGAGCCGGATAGATCCAGCCTGCGGACGCATCCAGAGAGGAGCAGCCACCGTTCCGAGCTGGAGAGGGCCGATGGTTGCATAGAGACTGGGAAAGATGGCTTTTGGACTGACACACAGAGGTCCGACGTATGGACTCAGCCAGAGGTTGAAGAACCCTGGACAGACCTAGAAACAAATGGGCCGCAGATCCTGCCAGAGAGGGATAGTGTTTGTGCAGATGGCCTCTGGGCCCATCAGAACAGGGCCAGCGCCCGAACTCAGCCGGGGGAGCCGTGTCCCTCAAGGGAGCCAAGTGCTGAATGCCCCTGCAGAGAATTGCATACTGATGGCTCCAGGACACACGGAACTGAAGGCGCTTGGACAGAGACACATGCCGATGGGTCTCAGGCCCAACAGGATCCTGAAACAGCTTGGAAACACTTTGGCCCCAATGGTGTCCAGGTCCAACATGATACTGGTGATTTTTGCACACAGCCTAAGACTAACTATGTAGCTGAAGAACTTCCCCAGGATGGGCCATTAGAGGAATCAGAAATTGGAGAGTTGGTGACTCACCTGTCCTCCCACCTGGGGCATAGTCTCAGGTGCTCTGTGCCCCGCCTTATCGTCACCCCTGAGACCCCCGAACCCGAGGTCCAGCCTGTGGGACCTCCCTCCCACTTTGAGGGGGGCAGCGGTGGCTTCTCCTCTGCCTCCTCTTTCGACGAGTCTGAGGATGACGTGGTAGTCGGGGTTGGAGGTACCAGCGACCCTGAGGACAGGTCTGGGGTGAGTGGGACCCACCTGTCCTTAAGCCGCACCCCTAGACCTCTTGTCCTCCTGACTGTACCTGAGGGGTTCTCTCTCAGTTTCCTCTCTGCTCCCACTAGTACTTTCATCTCCATCCACTAACTTCCTCTCCCTAGTGCCCCTGATTACTAATCCTCTCCAAGGACACCCCCTCAAGTTTCTCCTCACCTTTCTTGCACTCTCTCTGGTCCTCTGTTCCAAAATGAAAGGCTGCTGACTGACTTCAGGGCGCCGGCGAATTCCTGAAGTGGTGAGATGATGTGTGTGTGTGTGAGCGCGCAAGGGTCAGTAAGTCTCATCGGGCTCAGTGGGAATATGTGACTCCAAATCTGAAGAACAGTGTAATAGAGGGATATCAAGGGTGTGCTGTCGTGAGGCCTGTTGCTTCCTTCAGGGGTCTTAGAGTCTCCTCCACCCTTTTCGCCCAGTGGGAGTGGGGGCTTACGTACTGGGTTGCTAGCCAGAAATCCTGCTGCTCCGCTGTGGAAAGAGGATGGTCTCCTCTGATGACGATTTACAGCTTCAGAAACCCAATAGAAGGGCTCCATTCCCAATGGATCAGAATTGATGACAGGAAGCTTGGTATGTTTTTCTATGGAGTCAACTACCAGTTTTCATCAGATTTCGAAAAGGTGGTATATAAACCAAAAATGCTAAGGGACCCCAGGCTCATCAGGGGCCCTCTCAGTCTCCTCCACCCCCACCCTGGATTTCCTCCCCAGGGACCTCTGCAGATTCTCACTGATGGTTCCCACCCAGGCCCCCAGCTTGGGTGTGGTTCTCCTCTGGTGAGTCAAGTGGGCTGGCCTGGCGGGTTTTGCCTCTTGTGTGTCTGGGAACGTCATGCCTACCAGCTGCCCTCTGGGCCTGCCCATCCTCTGGGGCCCCCTCAAAGGAGTCTACCCTGGGCCCCTCACTGCACACACCTCCCTCAGTGGTAGATTCACTCCCCCTCCCCCATGGACATGAAAGACAAACAGACCTGCCTCAACTTGCCTATGCTGGGCGAGAGGAGCCCCATCTCCCTCTCCCAGGGCCTCTGCTGCTCCCTCTGTTTACTACCTTACCTCCTATTGCTCTAGGTGGTAGAGAGTCAGTGAAAAAGAGGAAGACCCGGTGAAATCCAAAATATAGGACTAGACCAACAAATCACCTGCTGCTAGACAACGTCGGGTTGACTGACTCCTAGCGAGCTATGAACAATTCTCATCATCTCTCATGCTCAAGCCCACTGTGGTTAACCCATCTCTATTTCAGTGACCTTCTGCCTGCTGTCTCTCTCTTCTCTCCTGAAAATATGCCAAAGTAAGGGAGATGTCTCAATAAATCATTGTTGTTATGTACCGTCAAGTTGGAATCGACTTCAGCTGACCCTCTAGCGGGTTTTCAGAGACAGTAAATTAACATGGAGATGATTGGCCATCCTTCTCCCATGGAGCAACTGGTGGATTTGAACTATGTGCCTTTGGGATTGAAGCTTAGCTTCTTAACCACTTATCTACCTGAGTTTCAATTAATCACCAGAATGAAATCAACAAATAATGCCAGCAAAGAGAAAGAAAAAGAGGAAGACCTTCCATAAACTGGATTGCCACAATGGCTCCAGCCGTGGGCTCCAGCACAGCGGTGGTGGTGAGGACCATAGGGTCACCAGGAGTTGGAACTGACTCTGTGACGCCCAGCAACTAGTAATAGTAAATAGTAAAGTAATAGTAATTGGTAAAGCAACTAGTGCTCGGTGTGCCCAGTCCTGTGCTAAGCTCTTGTAACTTCTTAACCTTTATCAGAACCCTATGAGGGAGATACTATTATCAGTGCACTTTATAGATGAGGAAACTGAGGCATAGAGAGACCAGGCTGTTAGTCCAGAACTACACACTTTGGAAGACACAGAGCTGAGGTTCAGATCTAGACCATTTAGCACCGGAGTCTGTGCTTTTAAATACTGCACTGCTTTGTCTTTGATCATGATCACAGTTACCACTGACTGGTGGATCTCAACTCATAGCAGCTCTCTGTGGGGTATTGGAGGCTGTACATCTTTATGGGAGGAGACTGCCTATCTTCTTTCATTGGGACAGCAAGTGGATTTGAGTGGTTGGTGAATTTGAACTGCACACCTTTTGGTGATTGTTGTTATGTGCCATCATGTCACCTGTGACCGTATGTGCACTAGTTCCAAAACCTGCCGTATCCCAAGCCGGTCTCATCTTCTCCAACAGATCTAATCTCATTTTTCCAGTCACTGAGTCAATCCATTTGGGCCTTTCTTTCTTGCACTACCCCTCTACCCTTCCAAGCATGATGTCCCATTCCAAGGACTGATTCTCCCTGGCCACATGCCCAAAGTATGTGAGACGGTTAACAGATCAAAATATAGCGCACCATGCGGGTTGCTATGAATCATACTCGACTTGATGGTACCTGACAACAACAACATACCACCAGGGTATTACTTCTTAGTAATGAACTTAACCAGCCCTTCACACTTGTCTCTCAGGGATCTGTCCAAAAAACAGACGTAGCTGTCTTGGAGGAGGTGCTTATCTCACGCACTTTGGGCATGTTGTCAGGAGTGGCCAGTGCTTGGAACAGGACATTGTGCTGGGAATGGTGGAGGGTCAGAGTAAGGGAGGAAGACTCTCAACGAGATGGATTGACACAGTGACAATGGACTTGAACATGGCAAAGCTTGTGAGGGTGGTACAAAGTAGAGCAACATTTTGATGTGTTATTTACAGGGTCACTAAGAGTCATAGTCTCCTTGATGGTACCTAACAACATCGGTCCTCACTTGAATCCTCAGAACAGCAGTGAGGTTGGATTTATCAGTATCTCCATTCTCTAGGTGAAACTGAGGCAGAGAGAAGGAGGTCACTTGCTTGGAGCTGGCCAGTTCAAGTCAGAGCTGAGATTCTAACTCAATTCCAGCCAAGCTTAAAATCCAGTCATTTTACATTTTAAACCCCTGTAATGTATAAATCTGTCTCTAAATTGCTTTCTTCCCAGCCCTGTGTCCAGCTTTGCTCTATCCCTCCAGGATCTGCCTCCTTAGTCCAGCCCTGACCAGACACATCCCCTCCTTCAGCTCCTCCCGTGTCTCCCCAGGCCCAGCATCAGAGCTCCTCGCCTCTTCTGACACCTCTGCTGCCACCACCCACAGTGCACACTGTCACCCAAAGTGTATACCATCCTTGGAGCATGCTGTCCTGCCTCCACAGGCTGCTCCCTCTTTCCAGAAGACCCGCACTTCCTTTTCCTTCTTGCTTCGTTTTGAAATATTGGCCAGCCCTCAGTAACTCCCTTTCCTTCCTTCCTTCCTTCCTTCCTTCCTTCCTTCCTTCCTTCCTTCCTCCCTCCCTCCCTCCCTCCCTCCCTTTCTCCTTTCTTCCTTTCCTTTTTCCTTCCTTCCCTCCTTCCTCCCTCCCTCCCTTTCTCCTTTCTTCCTTTCCTTTTTCCTTCCTTTCTTTCTTCCCCCTCCCTCTTTCCTTCTTTCCTTTCCTCCTTTCTCCCCTCCTCCCCTTTCTTCTTTCCTTCTCTCCCTCCCTTTCTTCCTTCCTTCTCACATTCATCCTGCACTCTTTGTACTCTTCATCAGGCCATGAGCCTGCCCTATGTGTCTGTCCCAATATTTGCTTTGCTGAAGGGACAGCATCCACCATGACAGTCCTGGTCCTCCCTCACAGGCCCCTCAGCCAGTGGAAGAGACAGACATCTCAACACACAGTGGCAGCTCTGAGTAGTCAAGGCTGGAGTGGGAGGATGCCCAAAAGGAGAAGGTGAGAGAGGTCAGAACGAGTGATCAGCAAGGCGTCCTCGAAGAAGGGGACATAGAACCGTCTCAGACAGCCTAGATTAACTATTTGTTGTTCCTTGTCATCGAGTTGATTCTAACTCATGGCATCCTTAGCTGTGTAGAGTAGAACTACCCCCTGTAGGGTTTTTCAAAGCTTTTGGAAGCAGACCCAGGGCTGCTGGTGATTTCTGATGCATCCAAACCACCAGTTTTTTGACTAGTAGTCATTGTTGTTGTTAGGTCCCATCAGGTCAAGTACAACTCTTAGAGACCCTGTGAACAGACCTGAACCCTGTCCTATCCTTTACAGTCCTCATCTGGGACACACTCGAGCCCATTGCAGCATCATCGTTTGTCAGTCCATCTCATTGAGGGTCTTCCCCTCTTTCACTGACCCTCCACCTTTCTAAGATTGATGTTCTTTTCCATGGAATAGGCTCTGCTAGCAACATGTCCAAAGTATGAAATGAAATTTCACCATTCTTGCCTCCAAAAAGCAGTCTGACTCAATCAAAGACTCCAAGATTAACTATTCAAATGAAAAGCTCAAATTCACTGTTAGTTGGTTGCGACTGTCCATTTGGTTTTGGAGGCTGTGTGTAGCGACAGGAGGAGATTGCTCATCTTTTTCCTGAGGAGCCCTGGTGGAGTTGAACTGCCAAAGAACACAGCCTCTGGGTTAGCAGCGCAGCTTGCTGCAGACTCTACCACCAGAATTCCTCCTACTGTAAACTGTGGAGTTGAAACTGACTCATTGCTGATACTCCAGCAGGTTTTCAGTGGCTGTAAATCACATCGTAGGAAATTGCTGATCTTTTTCCTGTGGGGCAGCTGGTGGATTCAGACAATGTGGCTGGTAGGGTTGACAGTGCGGCTTCTTACCACTAGACAACTAGCACTCTCCGGGTTAACATGAAATCTGAAAACTTAGTTGATACTAAATCTAATAATGAACAGAAAGATGATCTCATGTATCTCTCTTCAACTTATACTGAGCTGTGGTTGTGGACTGAGATGTGTGCTGAGGAAACAGTCATGATGATGACCCCACAGCCCCTGTCCTTTAGTCCAGTAGAAATGTGACAGTGAAGCCCCAGGACTGAGAGGTCAGTTCAGCCTAGAATCCTAGCACTGTGCTGTGTGATATTATACAAATGACTTCACTCCTCTGGTCCTCAGCCTCCTGTTGCCCACAGACACCCATGTTTCCGGGGTTGTGTTTTCAGGATTAACAAGGTCATGACACATTGAGTCTTTGTCGTTGTGCCTGGAATGTTCCAGGTGCTTAGTAAACAGGAACCTTTATTAATCAGCTCTTCCTCAGGGCTGGCAACACACAACCGGGAGGGACTAGCCCTTCCTGAATCTAGTGAGCCTTTATCCTGATGTCTCCTGGGCAGCTAGCTGGGCTCTGAGGGGTGCCCAGGAGGGGTGCCCTTAATCTTGGACAGGGGTGGGGAAGAAGAGCCACATAACTTCCATTTCTGGTGAGGATTGAAACACCTTGTGGGTAATTCTGACTCAAAGTGACCATAGAGGGCAGAGTACAACTGCCCCACTGAGTTTGCTGTTAATCTTTATGGAAGCTGATTGCAAGTCTTTCTCGCTTGAGATAGCTGGTGGGTCAGAACTGTCAACCTTTCTGTTAGCAGCTGAGTGTTTAATCACTGTACTAGTGGGGTTCCTCAGAGGAGAACTGCTTTCCCTTCATTTGCTAAGTGTCTGTTGTATACTTATAGGAGAGAGAAAGATGGGGAGAGAAACAGAGAGGGGAATAAGGGTTTAACTAGATCACCATTTTGCATTTGCTCTCTGGTTTTGTCTTTTTTTATGGCTTTCTCTGCATCTTTCCCCGACTCTCCTTTTGTCTGTTGTGACTCTCTTTGTATGTATCACTGTGTCTGTATTTCCGTTTTTATTATTTACAGTCTCTGCTGACTGTCTTCCTCTGTTTTAGTCAGGTTTCCCCAGAGTTTGCTGTAGTAACAGACAAAGTTCCCCAGTCTCGATAGCTTCAGGCAACACAGGATTGTCTTTGCTGCACTAGTCGCTGGCTCTGTACCAGGAGTCTTTACTTTGGGCCCTGCCTCTGAGGGCTCCTGCCTAGAACTGATGCTTCTGTCCACATTTCACTGGGCAAAGCAGCCAATATCCTCAGTTCAGAGTGGCAGAGTTGGAGCTGTTTGATCAACTTAGGATTGTCACAGTCTCCGGCTCAGCCTTCAGCTCTCTTTTATCACCTTTCTGTAGGTCTAACTCCAACTTCCACTGCTGCCTCCCTTTTCTCTAGGAGAACTGACAGGACTGACCTGGTTTAGGGAGTAGAGATGGGACTTTTTTGAGTGTGTGTGTGTATGCGTGCACGTGAGAGAGGGAGAAGGGAGTTGGGGTTGTTACCACAGCAAAGCTTAGCCTGTCCTACACTTGGACTTTTTTTTTTTACACTCATTGTATGCTGTTGAATCAGGCCTGACTGGCACAGAAGGAGATTGCCCCTCTTTCAGGGGAGCATCTGGTGGGTTCGAACCCACCATGCCTTTTGGATTGCAGTGCAGCTTTCTTGCCACTAGGCCACCAGAGCTCCTTACACATGGACATTTTAATTATTTATTTAAATATTTTTTATTTTAACTAATGAATTAATTTTTTATTTGCATGAAGGTAATAAATTAGTTGTTGTATATGACTTATTACTTACATCAATCTTAGACATTTTGTTATATAATATGAATTACTTTTTATTGGTTAGTGTCTGATCAACCCCTTCTTGTGTATTGCCTTTTCTTTCCCCTACTTATCTATTTATTCATTTTCTTTTTTTTTTTTCTATAATTATATTTTATTAATTTTCATAAACATTTACAGAGATTTTGGGCTTCCACTCATTCATTGTTGCACTATTCTCTCTACCCTCCTCCCAGTTTGTTCTTGTCCAAATGCCACAGTGCTTTTTATTCATTTTCTTTACCTTCTCTCTCCCTTCTCATACCCATTATCTGTCCAAGATGGATTGGCTTTTAAAGCCAGTGTGAGCCAGAGAGACACAAAGAAAGTCATAGCAACAGAGACAGAAATGGAAGGAGACCCAGAATCCTCCCCTGTCTTTGCCAGGGCCTTTGGGGTGGGGGATCCTGTGAGTGCTCAAGTAGGTGGGGGTCTGACAAAGTGGGAAACCTCAATCCTAGGAAGCCCCTTACTTCTAGAAAGATCCCAATCATCACAGCACTCCTGCTCCTGTCCCCTCCTGCCTTTGCCTTGACCCCACCCTCCTCTCTCCTGCACAGAACAAGTCATGGAAGAGGCTGAAGACAGTGCTGAAGTATTCACCCTTCATGGTCTCCTTCCACAAACACTACCCTTGGGTCCAGCTGTCCGGACATGTTGGTAAGAGCTGATACTAGTGGATGGAGACTCTCTGGGCTGGGGAAAGGGGCTTCGTTTCCCCATCTGTAAAATGGGCATGGTGACAGTGTTATAGGAAGCCCTTAGGTCTGGGACTAGCCTGTCACACATCAGGATGGAGGGCTGGTCCCAGTTATCAAGCTGTGGTGGGGAAGGTCTGATTTGGGGGCAGATGGACCTGGGGTCAAATCTCAGCTCTACTTTTTGTTCTTGACTCATCTTGGGTGAGTTTCTTTTTTTTTTTGTTGAGCCTCCATGTTCTCAACTCTATATGGAGAGATATATATATCTCCTGTTTCCTTTGAGGGGCTAATTGAAGAGGTAAAATAAAGATATCCATTGGGACTAGGCCACAGTCTTCTAAATGGCAGTGGTCCTTCTCTATCCCCTCCATGTGCCCAGCACATAGTAGGCCTGCAATAAATGGCAGCTGGGATAGTTTGCCCCAGGGATCACCAGGTGTCTTGAGCAGCATCCTCCAAGCAACACAGACCTGCTTTTTAAAGAGTTTGACAGGAAAAAAGGAAGAATGATAGAGACAAGTCTTTGTTCTGTACCTGGACTGGTTCTCACTCGGCACTTCCCATGAGCTCATGGCCCTCTCCACCTTGGAAGGATGGGGAAACGGAACAAGTTGGCCTAGGCTCACATCCACACATGTTGACTTCTTGGCTGTGTGGCTGAGAGCAAGTAACGTATCCCCTCTGTGCATGGTACCCTGAGCTTTAAAATCAGGATGATCATCTCAGTGGGTGAAGAATGAACAAGTAAATGGATATAGAGTCTGGCATACAGTAGTTGTTGCTGTTTTGTGCCATCGAGTTGATTGTGACTCATAGCAACCCTGTGCACAACAGCTCTGAAACTTGGCCTATCCTAAGCCAACCTCGTCGTCTCTGACCACCTGCCTCAGTTGTCACAGTCATTGTACCAATCCTTCTCATCCAGAGTCTTCCTCTCCTGTGCTGACCCTTTACCCTCCCAAGTTGTCCATGAAGTCCTTCTCCAAGGACTGGTCCCTCCTGGCAATATGCCCAAAGTAGTGAGACAAGGTTTCAAAATCCTTACCTTCAGGGAGCAACCTGACTCCACCCTCTCCAGGACAGGCCTTTTCTCTTGGCAGTCCATCATATGTTCAGTACTCTTCTCCAGCACCATAACTCAAAGGCATCAATTCTTCTGTCATCTTCGTCATTGTCCAGCTCTCAGATGCATAGCAAGCATGGACCATGGACTGGTTTAGGTGAGCAGTGTCACACAGTAGTGCTCAATAATTCTTAGCCTTCTGTTCCAGTAACTCCTGGGGTAGGTTTGATTGTAAGTCCCATTTTCCAGAGGAGGAAATTGAGACTCAGAGGAGTGGATTCACCCAGGCTGAGTCACACAGCCCAGGAGTAGCAGACATGGGGTTTGGACTTGGATGTGACTTCAGGCCCTGACTTCAGGCCCCATCAACTGGATCCCTCTCCTAGCAGTTCATCTCTGAAGAAGAACTCTGCCATCTTTACTTAGAGGCTGCTATTGAAGGCAATAGGGTAAATGAGATAACTTCTTAAAGGATTCAGTTTAAAACAAAAAGGTAGGAATGCTTACTAGATGAAGTGTAATAAGCATTTTTTTTAAAATACACAGCTAAGAAGGGAAGTAATCTTCAGGGGTCCATAAATGAAGGGAACTGGAAACAGTGGGGTGCTAATGCCAAAGGTGCTATAAGGGTACCTTCTAGTTTTGACAGTAGAGGCTTAGTTTGCTGGGTCACTGTTCCTCAGCTGGGCCATAGTTGGATTGCTTAACAGACCACCTCACTTCCACACAGTGCTTGAAAGCAGGAGCCATTGATTCTCCCTCAGGCATCCTGAGTTTGAAGTAGGGGGCGGGGTTCAGCTGCCCTAGGCAGAACTTGGCTTCAAGCAGAGCTGTGGGCCCTGTTATGTCTCCTGGGTCTCTCATCTTTCTTGGGCCAGTGGGCCAGTCAAAGCTGGTTTTTCTTAGAAGCTGAAATACAAAAGGGCAAGCCAACTCTTTGAGGATATCTTTCAGTGAGATGCTAATGTCCTGTTGGCCAGAGTAAGTACCACAGCAAAATCAGTGTGCAGACAGGTACATCCCTTTTTTGGAGGTTAGAGTGGTTATTTGCTCTTGAATCCTGGTTTTCAGGTTTCCTTGTTGGATGGCATTAGGCAATTTTGTTCCCTCTCTGAACTTTGGTTACCCCATTGGTAACATTGGAAGGTTTTATGTTTCAATTGGCAGGATGTACCAAGGACTAGTGATAATGTGTGTTAAGATTTTAAGTCTTAAAAAAAAAAGATTTTAAGTCTTGATCAGGGGCACTGATTTGCTTTACCTTTTGACCTGTACAATGTGACAGACTCATTCTGAACCCTAGATAAAACCAGAATAAAAACCAAAAAGACTCAAAACCACAGTTTGCTGCAGTCTCTTTTCAAAAAGGCTATATTCCAGTGAGAGTTTTGGAAAGGGCTGTATAATCTGTATATGTATGTAATCTCTCAGGTTTTGCAGGCCATACAGTCTCTGCTGTCAATTGACTCTTCTGTTACAGTATAAAAGCAACCATACACAGATCAACACATGAATATGCCTATGTTCCAATAAAACTTTACTTACAGAAAAAAGCAATGGGCAGAATGTGACAAACTACCCACCAGCAGAGGGAATTTGTCTGTCTTGTTTAGCCTTAGATCTGAATTAGAAAAGGCAATACTCCTCCCCCCTCCCCCAAGACTGTGAACAGGCCTGCCTTCTATAAGGGTCTGGTTGTTGTAATTCTTTTACCTGTTACTGTAACTGTGTTGAAGTTATTTTACTTTTAAAACAAAAAACTCAAAATCTGTTGTTCTGTGCCCTCAAATCAGAATGGTCCGAACTCATAGATGACTCTCCAGCGGATTTTCAGAAGCTGTAAATCCCAAGGGAGGAGATTGGCCATCTTCCTTGTGGATTTGAACTGCTTGCCTTTGGGTTGCCAGCACAACTCCTTACACAGTAGGCCACTAGAGCTCCCTTCCTAAAACATAGTGGTAGTTAAAAAAACCCGAACCATTTAGTGAATAAAAACAACCATAACTCAGAGAAGCTCATTAGAGGTGGCTTGACTATATACTCGCTGTTATCTGGGAGCTCAGCTTGGACAGTTTGAAGGTTGGGAGCTGGATGCTGAAAGTACATTCATTCCCAGGCCTGGCAGTCGATAATAATTGTTGGCTGGGGCCTCCACTGCATGTTCCAGGTGGATAGTCCACTAACAGCTTCTTCATGTAGTTGCTTCTGCTTCCCCTCAATATGGCGTCCTCATACTAGTTGGACTTCGTATTCTGCATCTCAGGACTGCAAGGGCAAGTGTCTTTGCTAACAACACAGAAGCTGCCTCTCCTTTTACCACACACACTCTGAGGCTGCCACAGGCCATCCAGATTCAAGGAGGGAGGAAGTAGGTGCCACTTCTTGATGAGAGTGACAGAATTCTAGAAGAGCATATAGAACAGGAGAGAGATGTTGTTACAACCATCCTTGGAAAATATAACAAGAGGATACAGTCTATCACAATAAGAGTTTTGAATTCTAATCTGTGTTCTCTGTATGGTCCATGTAACCCCTGGCTTAGAAATGAACTTAAAATAGTTCCACTTGCTAGAAGCCTGGAACCCCAGGCAAAAGGACATGCAAATCTGCTCTGAAGAGTCATGTTTTTCCACTATGAGCTCACATGTTCCCACAGGTGACCATGAGCTCACAATCCCAAATTACAGAAGGAATGAGGGAACAGCCCACTTGGGAGCAGAACTTGGTTGAAAACATACACAGGAGAACTAGACCTTTCTCTTCCCAGCCCTGGCCACCATCTTGGGAGCTGAGGAGGGAGGTAACAACGCAGAAGGGGCTGGGCACACGGCAGCTGCCTGGGCCTGACGCAGCAGGGACGTGGAGAGATTCTTTCACTGATTTAGTTTCTGACCTGCTGTAGGGAACTTCCAGGCTGGAGAGGATGGTCGGATTCTAAAGCGATACTGTCAGTGTGAGCAGCAGAGCCTGGAGCAGCTGATGAATGACCCCCTGCGCCCTTTCGTGCCAGCCTACTATGGTGTCGTGGAGCAGGACGGCCAGACTTTCAACCAAATGGAAGATCTCCTGGCCGACTTTGAGGGCCCCTCCATCATGGACTGCAAGATGGGCAGCAGGTGGGGCCTGAAGGGAGGCAGGAGGGAATGATCCGGGCGGACAGTCTTAAAGATTAAGTGCCATTGCGTATTTCCTCCAGCACTGCACACAGGTTCCTCTGCTTCCATATTTTTGCCCACACTTAGCATTGTCTGCTTTTAAAGTGCTAACCATCCTAGTGGGTATGTATTGGTATCTCGTTGTGGTTTCATTTCTTGAGTTTCTTTCTTTTTTTTTTTATTTTAATGAAAGTTTATAGAGACTTAGGGTTTACAGTCATTCATTGTTGCACTTTTCTCCCTGCCCACCACCCCCCCCCCGCCAATTCACTCTTCTCCTTGAAAAGAAAGAAAAACTCTTTCATTGTTATGCAGTCCCTCTCCCTTAAGTCTGCTCTACTATGCAGCCTTCACTGTGGACTTTTGTAACGACAATACTCATTCATATGTCTATTTAAACAGTTATCTCCCTCATCTGTTTCAATGCAATATACATCATTTCTCGCCTCCTTTTCTGTCTTCTCTCAATTCCATGTCAGTCCTGTTTTACAACAGTGGCCCTATGTAATATTTGTCCTTTTGTGGCTGAGATATTTCACTCAGCACAATGTCCTCCAGGGTCATCTATTTTGCATATTTCATGAGTTCCTTGTTTTTCAATGCAGCATAGTATTCCATTGTGTGAATATACCAGAGCTTCTCTATCCGATCGTTTGTTGATGGGCACTTGGGTTGTTTCCAGCTCTTTGCTATTACGAACAAAGCCACAATAAATAAGGGTGTGCATCATTTCTTATATGTTAATTGACTGGTTCACACTTGTTTTTTGAAAAGTGCCGTTGGAATCTGATGCTCATTTTCTATTGGGCTTTGTCTTTTTGATTTGTGATTCTTCATTTATTCTGGATACACATCTTTCATTGGACACTCCCTCCCCCTGAAACCCACTGTCCTCAGTTTGATTCCAGTGCATGTTGACTTTCTTTTGGGTTTCTGAGGCTGTAAATCATGATGAAAGGAGATTACCTCATCTTTTTCCAGAGGAGTAAGTAAAATCTAGATCAACATTCACCAGCAGCTCAGCAGGAGAAAGATGGACAGACTATCCCCATGTGGTTTAAAGTCCCTGAAAAGCTGCTGACTCAGTTCCAACTTGATGGTACAACATCTCTGCCTGTCTATCTACATATTAGTACATTCCCTCTCTGTCATGTCACTCTAATAGCATCATTTGCAAAACAAACTACTTTTTAAAAATGTAACAAAGGTACTTTTAATTTAGGCCAGTTTGAACATTCTTTTGCCTTTGTGAATAGTATTTTTTGTATTTACAAAGTCATTGTTACTTCAAGATCCTGAAGATAGTACATTTTCTTCTACAACCTTTATTGGAACTTTCACATTTAGATCTGCGATCCATCTGGACTTTAATTTTGTCCGTAGTGAGTGTGAGGAGGTAATGGCTATCTATTTAACTCAGCACCACTAATTGGAAAAGTTTTCATCTGCCCACTGAATCACAGTGCCACCCACCTTGCTGTAAATTGGATAATCATGCATCTGTCTGTTTTTCTGTGGATTCTGTTTATCTTGTTCCAATATCACACCATAGCTTTGTCTTGTTACCAAGTGCATAAATCCCCTTTACAGCTTCCCTTGCTACATCCTCTTTTGGCAGGGTTTTGATCTGTCGTTAGTAGGGTCATTATGAGTCGACGTGACAGCACCTAATAACAATAGCAACAACCCATGTGTTCCCAGGACCTACCTGGAGGAGGAGCTGGTGAAGGCACGTGAACGGCCCCGGCCCCGGAGGGACATGTACGAGAAGATGGTGGCTGTGGACCCTGCGGCCCCCACAGCTGAGGAGCACGCCCAGGGTGCAGTGACCAAGCCCCGCTACATGCAGTGGCGGGAGACTGTGAGCTCCACGTCCACCCTGGGCTTCCGGATTGAGGGCATCAAGGTGAGAGCCTGTGCTGGAGGCCTTGGAGCGAGGTCTGAGGCTGCGCTTCAGGGAGCCTGCACATTGGGGCCAGGTGGAAAGAAACAAACTCATGAGATGGTGGGGGGCTGCCCAGGAGCTCCTGGAAAAGCCCCCATTTCTCTCTCCTTACATGCTCAGAGACCACATTTTGTTTCTCCATCTGCTTGAACATCTCTGATCTGATGCCGTATCTTCTCCACTGTCTTCCTGGGTCTGAGCCAGTGTCCCAAATGTCCTGTCCTCTAGAAGTGTTGAGCTCTATCCCATAGTCCAACTCAGCAACTGGAAGAGCCTTGATTTTCTGTTTTTGGAGGAGGTGATTTTTTTTTTTAATTCTTATTTTTGTAAATTAAATTTTGCACTTGAGTTCTCATCAGTCCCTGGGTGGCACAAACAGTTAAACACACATCTACTAACAAAAGGTTGGTGGTTTGTAACTCCCCCAGAGGGGCCTCAAAAGGAAGGCCAGAGGTGTGAAAGTATAGGAAAGACACAATGGGGACTTGTGGAGATGGGTGATAAAAGGTGATCAGTAGTAATTATGATATAAAACATAGTGCATATGAATGATTGTATAAAACACAATCTGCATGAATGGGAAAAAAAAGGAAGGCCTAGAGATCGACACAGTCCAAGAGTCAAAATAATATTATATCTGAGAGATCTCTCGCCCAACTTTTCTGCCCTCCTTCCTGTCCCATCCCTCTACCCCAGCTGCCTGCCTCTTCCTAAGAAACCACTTTGTCAGTTTCTAGTCCTACTTTCTGCAAATACAAGCAAATGAAACTGCACAGCCTAAAATGTTTCCTTCCTTTCTTACATAAAAGGTGGCATAGAACACACACTGCTGATTTGCATTTTTTTTTTACTTAAGGATAACATCCTGGAGTTTTCCATATCAGTCCACAGAGAGCTCCTCTTTCTTCCTCTCTCTCTTTCTTTATTCATTTGTGTAATACTCTCTTTGTGGGTCTTCTAGGGATGGACACTCCAATGGTTTCCATAGTTTGCCATTACTAACAATATCTTCATGAAAAAGTTTGTACATATGACATAACTAGATTCCTAGAAGCAACAGGATGACTGAGTCACAGATATAAATAAACTCATTATTTTGCAAGACATTGCTAAATTCCTTTCCCAGGTAATATTTTGTTGTGCATTCCACCAGCAAGATATGATAATGGCTGTTTCCCCATGGTCCCTGAACTATTTTACAGATTACAGATCCAGCTAAGTTAATTCTGCTTGTAATTGTCCATGGCTCCCTTGTGCCCTCAGGAAGAATTCCGAGTCCTAGAAGGCCCTCCAGGGTCTGGCCTGGTTTCTTAGCTTTCTCTTCTTCCTTGTCTGTCTTCAGGCCCCAAAGAAATGCATTTCTTTCCTTTAGAGAGTTGGCTCTTATCTGCCAAAGGGCTTCTACGTGTGCTTTTCCCTCTGCCTCAAATGAATTGCTATTCCCCTGGTTGATTCCCAGCCATTTTTAATTTTTAAATTTTTCTTCATCTGAGAAGCTCTCCCAGATTTCTACCTTAGGGGGTCAGAACCCTGTCTTGATCCCCTCAGAGCTCCCTGTATGCCTTCATTTTCTTTTTTATCTGAGATGACCTTATGTGTTGTCTGCCTCCTTCATCTGATGTGTCTGTCATGTCAGTCCCCACACAGCACTGGTCAGCATAGCAGAGCCAGGTGGCTTCTTTGAGAAAGAGTAACATTCACCTCATCTACTTCTTACTAGGTGTCAGGCGTGGTGAGCATCCTGTACATCAGTCCCCTCTAATGCTTGGTCAGCTTTAGGAGGTGGAGACCAGCGTAATTCCCATTGTCCAGATGAGGAAACCTAGGCTGAGGCAAGGGGAGTGACTTGCCGAGGCTTGCCCAGCTAGGAGGCAGCTGAGTCACAGCTCAGTGGCTGAACTGCTCCCTCTGTTCTCCTTGGCTGATGCCTGAAGAGGACCGGTTGCTCAGGAACATGACTGGGGCTGGGTTGAGCCGGCTAGCTGAGCTCATTACCCAACAGCAAACAAGCATTGAGGGGGGTGATGACATGGAGAGATGCCTAGGGCTGCTAAGTGGATGTTAGGGGTGGGAAAGAAAAAGCTCTCCTTCACCCCATACTCTGCAGAAAGCTGATGGAACCTGCAACACCAACTTCAAGAAGACACAAGAGCTGGAGCAAGTGACAAAGGCCCTGGAGGACTTTGTGGACAGAGACTATGAAATCCTGGTGAGAAAGACCCTTTTAGCTTTGGCTGTGTAATGAACTACTCAGAACCATAGCAGCTTAGAATCACCACCATTTGCTGCAGCTCCTGAGTGGGTGGATCTATGCTCTGGACGGGGTTGGCTGACCTGGGCTGGCTCTGCTCATGCATCTGTGGTCAGCTAGGTGGTGGCTGGCTAGGACTGGCTGGTCTAGACATGTGGGTCATGATCCAGCAGCCTCCCCTGGGCTTATCCTCACTGGGATGCTGAGAAGGACCCCTTATTTCATTCACCAATGCAATGTCTCAGCCTAGGCCAAGATCTACACCAAAACTGCTGTTGGGTCGACTATGATTCATGGCAATCCAGTGTGTGTCTGCATAGAACTGTGCTCCACTGAGTTCTCTGTGGCTAAGTTTTTAGGAGTGGATCATAGGACTTTCTTCCTTGCTGCTGCTGAGTGGCCTCGAACTGCCAACCTTTGGTTAGCAGCTAAACATGTTGACCATGTGCACCATCCAGGGAGTTCAAGCCTAGTTTAATGGGAAGGGGAAACAGAGCTCACCTTGTGATGGGAGGCCCTGCTAATACTTAAGGGTCTTCATGTAATCTGCTGCACTCTGGCCTACCCTGATGTATCCCAGACCCTCTATTGTCTCTGCGGCTTCTCATATCCCACCCTGCTCATTCCTTTGGGATGTAGGTCAAAGTCAGATTCCACGAAGTATCTACATTAACTGGGAAATCCTCCTTCTCACACAGAGAAAGTACGTGGCTCGCCTCAAGGGACTCCGTGAAGCTCTGGAGAACTCTCCCTTCTTCAAGACCCATGAGGTGAGAGACCTAGCCCCCATGGGAGCTGTTGAGGGGATGATTATTGGGGTCCAGGTGGCACCTAGAACTTGTTGACAGAATTGTGGGCCAAGGCTATAAAAATGAGGCCCCAAGCTTGGAGAAGGTGCAGTCAGAGTGCTTCTTGGAGGCTTCATCTCACATACTTCGGGCATGTTGGAGAGGGGGCATCATACTTGGGAAGGTGGAGGGATGATGGAGAGGAAGACCCTCAACAAGATGGATTGACATGGTGACTGCAGCAATGGGCTCGAGTGTGTCAGAGATTGTGAGGATGGCACAGGACAGGACAGGGCTCAGATCTGTCGTTCATAAGGTCACTCTCGGTTGTCCTTGACTCACTAGTGGCACCTAACAACAGGCAGAAGCAGCAGCTTGGGTTTGTGTATTTAGAGTCAGCAGCAGGGGGCTTTGGGAGTTGGAGCATTTAGGGTGGCCAGCTCCGTACATACCAGCTGTGTGACCCTAGTATGTGACCTGCCCTCTCTGGTCTCAGTTTCTTCCTCAAAAGAGAGAACAGTCCTGTGCTTTCATGCAGGGCTGGTAGCAGACGGCCGACTCCTCGGAGGGCATTTAATGCTTCTTGCTCGGAGGGAGCTCTGGTGGCATCATCTGTAGGCAGCTGCACTGCTAAGCCCAAGCCAGTGCCTCTCTGGTGGTTCAGATCTACTATGACCTCATGAGAAAAAGACGGGCAGTCTCCTCCCATGTGCTTTACAGCCTCCAGAAAACCAAGTGGAGGGTCAGCTCTGAGCTCAATGGCAATGAGTTACTGGTTATCTTTATTACAGGCATTCCTGGCTTGATGGTTCTCTCCCTTCCCCACCAGCCTGTGCCACTCTGGCAGTCTTTCTCGGGGGGCTAGCTGAGGAGACTCACCTTTGTGGAACCTCATCTCTCCTCTCTTTCCAACTTCTCTGGCTTCCCACCTTGTCTCTGTCCCCAGATATCAGTGACATTCTGAGAGTGCTGGTCTGGGAGTCAGGCTGCCCCAGGTTCATATACCTGTACCAGGTACATGAATCTATATGGGCCTGGGCAGCTTTCTCAGTGACCTCAGTCTCCTCACCTGTAGAGTGGAGGAACAGCACCTGCCTCCTGGGTCATTAAGGAGTAACTGAATTAATGTCAGAAATCCCACCCTCCGTATATGCTGGCTGGCATTGCTATTCAGGCTTAGATGTCAGCCTCACTGATTGTCTTAGTTGCTACTTTTGGCCTTTTATACAGAAGTCATGAAGAGAGGCCTGGCGTCCCCACTTACTTGCCCTTGTGTTTGTTTTGCCTGCTTGGTGACAGTTTAAAAAAATTAGTTTCCAAACATACAGGACCTAATACAGGCTTCCTACCATCTTGGGGACCCTCGTTCTCCCAGCCAAATCAGACGAGGTTGCAACACCCTGCAGGAAAGCAGCCCCTTGTCCCAGATTATCACCTGCATTGCCCTGGGGCGAGGCAGCTGCCTATCCCTTTTCCTTGGGAAGTGCATTGTTCATTTCCTGTGGACACTGGGTTTGTACCTCCAGCTTAAGAAAGGATTAACATTTGCTCTCTGCCAGGTGATCTATAATCTAGGTGTAGCATAGGACTGATTCATACGTTCAATAAGCACAGCAACCTTTGAGATTATCTTTCCTTAGAATGAGGAAGCTGGCACACAGAGGCTTTGTCACCTTCACAAGGGCACACAGCCAGGGCATGTCAGAGCCAGGTTTTGAACGTAGGCAGCCTGGCTCCAGGGTTCATGTCACTGGTCTTGCTGTCCTGCCTGATATGAGGGGACCTGACCCTCTTCCTTTCTCCTTGCAGGTGGTGGGCAGCTCCCTTCTCTTTGTGCATGACCACATGGGCTTGGCAAAGGTCTGGATGATTGACTTCGGCAAGACTGTGGCCCTGCCTGACCACCAGACACTCAGCCACCGGCTGCCCTGGGCTGAGGGCAACCATGAGGACGGCTACCTCTGGGGCCTGGACAACATGATCCACCTCCTTCAGGGGTTGGCCCAGAGCTGACACAACTGCCAACACTAAAGGTAGCGGATGGTGTCACTTTGACCAGAGAAGCCCTGAGATGCTGCAGGGAGCGGAGGTTGGCGATGGGGAGCTGACCCTGGGAGATTGTTGTTCTCAAGAGTAGCATGGAAGGTGTGAAGGGCCTTAGAGACCAGGAAACCCAGCCCTTTGGTCTGATGGGGGTTGGAAGGCCATGAGGAGATGACATGAGGAAGTCTCATAGCAGAATGAGAACTGGCACCCCCCAACCAGCCAGGGGCTCTGAGGCGCCCCCCCTCAGAGAACAGTTCACATGTCACTGAGACCTGATGCTGAGCCCCACCACAGTGTAACTGGTGTAATTGGTGGCTCTGAGGCCAGTGACTAGGTTGGGTTCCTCTTTAGAGTAGATGTCATCAATGATGCAGGCACTGCGTTATTCAACTTGGGTAACAGTTCTGCAGCATCTCTTCCTCTGGGGCCTTTTCTGCACCGAGTGACCAGCTCTGAGGAGAGTGTGACATCATGGGACCATCTGCAGGTGCTGCCCACAGGCCTGTACGCTGCTGACACCAGTGGGAAGGGCTGGTTCACCACCACCCCACCCTCGGGTGGCTCCCTGCTAGCCTCCTACAGACCAAAACCACAACTACATCTGAGCCTGCGACCGACACTGTGACCAGCCTTGCTCCTTGGTGCCCACATTCAGTCTCGAGGACACCTTCCTGCCGATCCTACCCCTGCTGGCTTTTCTGTCTCTCCTCCTCAGATGCTGCAGTGGCAGGAAGGGGGCTTCAGAAGCAAGGGCGCAGGCTTCTTCCCTGGTTCCCTGCAGTGAAAGGAGGCCCAGGCCTGAGCACAGGGTGGGCACCTCACCAGTGGTGATCCTGGCCTTGCAACTCAGACCAAACCAAAGACTGTGGACCCCTAACATGTAGCAAGTGACCCCTCTGCTGTTGTAACTACGCCCCTGGTCCTTGAGGGATCTTGGGAGGACAGGCACACACCTCCTTCCTAAGCTTAGGCTCTAAAGTCACCTCTAGGGCTAAGCAGATGCCTTCTTTTCTACTCTCTTTATTCTATTTATAAAGCAGATGCAGTTGGTGGCCAGGGTGGCACCCAGGCAATAGGAGGCAAAGTGACTCTGAGGTCACTCCATGAGGCACAATAAACAGGACACTGAGCTTTGTGGAGCTGTTTCTTTTGCATCTGGGATCATCTCAAATTCATCCTGAGCACCAATGCTAGGGTGGTGGTGGGGGAATAATGGGATAATGATCACCTTGGGGTGAGGGGCTCAGCTCTTTCACTCATACTAGCTCTGTGCTGGGTGGCTCAGGGGACACAATGGTGACCAGGAGAGCTCCCAAGGACAATGCAGCAGGGAGTATTAACCAGGAGGGGTCCAGCTGAAATGGGGGTGATACAGGCAAGGACTGGGCCAGGATGAAGAAAGGGAGGACCAAGGGCTGGGGGAATGGGGAGGGGCAGGAAGGAAGGGAGTGGCTTGGGGATCAAGCAGGATGAGGCAGAGCCAAGGGCTGAGGCTGAGATGGGAGAGGCTCCCCTGGCTACCTCACCCACTCACTAGACCACTGCCCTGTAAACGTCCCCTGACCACAAAAACCTTGCTGAGCACTGGGGACCCAACAGCAACGCAGACAGACCTGCTCCTCCCCTTGCAGAGACCCAGCCCAGTGGACCACTGGGATTGTGAATGAAACCAGCACACATGCTCCTGGTAGATCCATCTGTATGGTGAGGTGGGAAGAACACAATCTGTGACAGTGCGGTGGTGGCTCAGTGAGTGTGGCAGGTCACGCCACCTGTATGAGCCCTGCCTTGCCATTGGCCCCTATGTGACCTCAGGCCAGTATCTCTGCCTCTCTAAGCACCTGAAAATAGGGAGAATCCATGCCACTCTCCCAAGTTTAGATGATTTCAGGAATTAACCTGAGCACAGAACAGAGGCTGCGGGTAGAAGCCCTGGCCTGGGCTGAAGGCACCTTCCCTGAGGAAGTGATACCTGAGCCAAGTTAAAAGCCACTAAGTCCACTGCCGTTGAATCGTTCCAACTTACGACGACCTTCCAGTGGGTTTCCGTGGCTGTAAATCCTAACAGAAGAAAGCAGTCCATCTTTCCTGAAAAGCAACTGATGGATTTGAACCACTGGGCTACTGGCCTTAGATTAGCAGCTTGACAATGTAAGCACCAGGGCTCTCTGAGTTGAGCCAAAGAGTGATGTTAAGGAGTGTCCTGGTGATGGGGCAGGTGACAGATCCCAGAAAGCTAAGTGGATGCATTAGGATAGAAAGGCCGGAAGCCAGGCAAACTGGGCTTTCCTCTTGGGTTCATCCTGCCTGAAAGCAGCGAGGAGCCTGTGAGAACCACTGCAGGGAGCAGGACAGCAGGGAGGCTCTTGGAGGTGAAGGTTGGTTAGGGAGTGGCCGCCAGTGAGGCCTGCCATAGGAGTGTTCAGTAGTGGGATGGGCTGGCTTGGTGGACTCAGTCCCCAGGTTTCTGGACGGAGGAGGGGCACAGAGGATGCTATGTGAGGGAACCCTGGCCTACAGGCCCTCAAAAGTCCAACCTCAGATGCCAGGTGTCACATAGGAGAAACGGGCACCCTTCACCAAGTGCCCTGATCCAGGGCCTTGGCAGGCTAACGGCCTGTGCTGTGCGGTCTGAGAAGTAGGGCCTGCCCGCAGAGGCCAGCCTGCACCCCACCAGCAGGCACCACATACGACCGGCCATCTGCAGCCCGCACTGGCGAGAAGTCTGTCAGCTGCAGGTTGCTCTTGCAGATCTGGTCGTAGTCCCACAGCTGGTAGTGCCAACTCTTGCCCTGCTTGGAGAGCAGGTAGATGGCACCTGGGGAGTCTTCCTCAGGCAGGGGTGGTGGTGGGCAGGGTGTGCCGGGCACTGGGTGGAACAGGCCCCCCAGCTCGGGGTCTTCAGCATAGCCACAGCCTGGCACGCCTGGCACACCCAGCAGGAGTCCTGAGGGGAGAACAGCAGGTGACTGAGCACCAGTCATATGGGGGCTCCCCAAAATCCCCTCACAGCCCTCCAGGATCAGTTAATAGATCAGTTAATAGAGGTCAGAGGTCATACAGCTGGGCGGAGGTTTGGACCCAGGATTTTCAGCTCATAGATTATTGGCTCAGGGAGGTAGGGGACCAATGTCAATCAAGACAAACATTGCCAAGTTATGTCCAGTAAAGACCTGCTCAGGGATGAGCCTCAGGCCACACAGCCTCGAGAGGCCCAGGAGCCTGGCCCAGGCCTCCTGATGGGTGCTAAGTCCTGTCCCTTTCAGGGAGGCGGAGGATGAGGCCAGTAGGATCATGGCCAACACTGAGAGAGCACGTGTAACCAGAAAGGCACCGTCTGTTTCACTAACTATGACTCTGAGGCAGATGGACACTACCATCACCCCCACTTTTCCAGATGGAGAAGCGGAAGTACCAGACAGTTAAAGAAACTTGTCCGGGATCACAAAGCCCAGAAATGACTAAGCCAGGCTTGGAGCTCAGGCTGCTGGCTCATAAAATCCGTGCCCCGAGCTTGTGTGCCTGCCTTGGCCCTGCTGCAAGTGCGGGGCAACAATGGGCAGGAGGAGAGGTAAGAGGCCCGAATGGAGCTCGAACCCACCTGCACTAGCTGCCCAGTGGGCTTTGTAGCCCTTCCTCTGACATGGCTCATGGTTGAAGTCCTCATCGTAGCTGGTGCTGTTGTTAAGATCAAAGCTGTGGTAGGTGGTGTGGCCCCGGCTCCCTCTGCCACCCTACCCTGTCCTCTCTCTGGGCCGGGGATACGGGATGAGCAGGGGGTATCCAGCAATGAGGTGCTGCAGGACTCGATCTCTGTTGGCACCACCCAGGCCTCCACACAGCCGCTCTGCTTGGCAGCCCAGCACTTCCTGGGCCAGTTTACCCATGTTGGCCACTGTAGGGTGAGAACAATGGAGAGAGGAACTTAGTGTGTGCCTGAACTGATCCTGAAGAGAGCTTCACAAAACAACTATGAGATATAATCTCACCCCAGTCAGAATAGCAAAACTTAACAGAACAGCAAGCTACACATGCTGGCGAGGTTGTGGAGAAACCGAAACCCTTATTCACTGTTAGTGGGAGTGGAAAATGGTGTGGTGCTTTCTCAAAAAGTTGCAAATAGAGATAACATTTGACCCAGCAATTTCAATACTGGGAATATACCCCAAAGAGACCATAACCGCCAACCAAGCAGATATATGCACACCCATGTTTATCGTGACTTTGCTCACAATAATAGCAAGGAGTTGGAAACAACTCAGGTGCCCATCAACAAATGAATGGATAGAGAAGCTGTGGTATATGCACACAATGGAATACTACGCTGCATTGAAAAATAAGGAACTCATGCAATATTATGCAAAATTGGTGACTCTGGAGGACATTATGCTGAATAAAGTATCTCAGTCACAAAAGGACAAATACTACATGGTGCCACTGTTGTAGAATGGGACTGACATTGGGGTAAGACTGAGAAAAACTGGATAAATTATGTATACTGCTTGAAACAGATGAGGGAGAGGATAATTTAAAAGCAATATATGATAGGGTATTATGGTTATCACAAGAGTCCAGAATTAAGGTTGCATAGTGGAGTGTCCTCAGGGTGGTGGGAGGAGTGCAGGGGAATTGTGTACCAAAGAAAGAATTTTACTTTTCTTTTTTTTTCTTTCATTTATTTTTTTTTAAATTTTATTATTTTTGTATGCGTGTACCGTCAAATCAGATCTGACTGGTACAGGAGGAGATTGTCCCTCCTTCCCCGGCAGAGCATCTGGTGGATTCAAACCGTGCGCCTCTGGGATTGCAGTTGCAGCTCCTTGCCACTAGGCCACCAGAGCTCCCCAGAATTTTACTTTTCAAAGAGAGGAGCGAACTGGGTGGGCGGGAGGGCTGGTCAGGGCGAAGAGTGCAACAGTGAATGAATGGAAATCCAAAATCTCTGTAAAAGTTCATTAAAAGTAATAAAATTTAAAAAAAATTGGCTTTTCAAAAAAAAAGTTTTACCTTCTAATGTTAAAAAAAAAAATAGGGGGTGGGGTGGGTGAGGAGAAAAGTGCAACAATGAATGAATGGAATTCCAAAATCTCTGTAGATGTTCATTGAAATTAAAAAAATGAATAAATTAATTCATTAATTAAAAAAAAGAAAGAAATTACATCACTATAAAAAAAGAAGAGCTTCAGTAGCCTATGGGGTAAGGAGTGGCACTGCCAAGCTACAGGCTGGAAGTTCAAATCCAACAGCTGCTCCTCCATGTGATTTACAGTGTCTGAAAACCCACTGGGAAGTCTGCTAGGAGTCTTGACTCTGACATTGAGTAAATTTTTGAGAGAACTGATTTTGAGGGGATTTGACACCTAATGCTCACCACTCTCAATTTCTTTGCATGGATGCCGAACATGAGGCACAGAAAAGTTGAACTGCTTGCCCCAGGCCATACAGCAAGGAGATGACAGAGCTGAGTTTGGAACTTACCTTATCGTCACTCTGCCCTACTGTTTGAAAAGGACCTGAGAAATGGCATGAAAGTACCTGGGTGCCCCTGACCTCTGAGTGAAGAACGAGCTTGAGACCCTCTTGCCCTTGGCTCACCAGAGAACATCTCCCCTTGGGCAGTGTAGCCTCGTTCCAGTGCCACTTGCACAAATCTCTCCAGGGGAACACTGTTGAGGGGTGCCAGTAGAGTACCTGCCATCCACAAGGCCACCAGCCCACACCTGGGGAGAGACAGAAAGGGGCTCAGTGCCTTAACCCCAAAGTTATGGGGCCTGCTCTGGAAGCTGGAGCATGGGGACAGTGGAGCCATGGGTACATTTTCCTCCCCCTCCCATCCCCGACTCCTAACTTTGGGACAGAAGATGGCTAATGTCTGAGCCTGGGGGTGGGGCAGTATGGAGGAAGATCATGAGGGCTTCCTGGAGGAGGTAGTGCTTGTATGAGAAGTTACAGGTTCACTTGTTCACTCCCTCACTTGCTCATTACAAATCTCTACGTTCACTACACCTGTGCCAAGGGCTGTCCTGGTCCCTGTTGCCCTCCCTAGGCTCCTGGGCCTTCTCCCAGCCTCCCTCCAGGAAGGGCAGAGGCTCAGGGTGCAAGGCAGGCAAGGGGTAGGGTACCAGATCCAGAGCACGTACTGAGGGCCTTCCTGGATGAGGGAGGGCAGATCGGCACAGAAGAGGATCCACTGCAAGTCACTTCTGAAACTGAATCAGAGTCATATTTGAGTCAGGCAGCACTGAATTCGTTCTCCCTAACTTGACACTTGCCCTTCCTGAGCCTCAGTGTCCTCATCTGTCCAGTGGGAATCATCCTTCCTCCAGTCAGCTTTCTAATTCATCTCAGTTATGGAGGAGATTGTGTACAAGCTGTAACTAAGAGCCTGGTGGTAACCCAAAGGCACATGGTTTGAATCCACCAGCTGCTCCACAGGAGAAAGGCAGTCTCCTCTCGTGTGACTCACTGCCTCTGAAAAACTTCTGGAGGGTCAGCTATGAGGCAGTTTTGATATGACAGTACACAACAAGAGCCAGCGAGGGACCTCTGATGGCCTAGTGAGAGTTATGCTACCCCAAATGGTGCAAACCCATCAGCTGCCCACAGGAGAAAAATGAGCACTCTCCTGTGGGATTGACCCTCTGGAGTCAGTTCAAACTTCATGGCACCTAACCATACATGTACCAGAGGAGGGTGAAATGAAAGTCAGCTATAGCCAGGATGACAAACAGGTTTGTCCTAGAGAGGATAAAGCCAGACTGCTCCTTGGAGGCAAGGATTCTGAGGTTTCATCTGACATACTTCGGGCATATTGCAAGGAGGGACCAATCCTTGGAGAGGAACATCATGCTTGGAAGGGCAGAGGGACGAAGAGAGGGAGACTGTCGATGAGATGGATTGATTCAGTGACTGCGGTAATGAGGGTAGGTGTGCCAGACAATAAAGTAGACACAGGATAGAGCAGGTTTCAGGGCTGTTTGTACATAGGGTCACTATGAGTCTCAAACGCTTGGTGAGACTCTCCTCCAGGTGGGTCCACTTCACCCTCTCCCCACCCCACCTCTGCCCTGTTGAGGCTCCTCCTCTCCAGCCTGGATACTCTAGTTTCTTCTCTGAGCAACAAGACTCCAGACTCCGTATCTACAATCACATCTCTGGTCCTTCCGTGGAGTTAGTTCTCCCATGTGCCCAGACCCCTCAAGACAAAATTCAACCCCCTTCAGATGACCCACCATGCTGCTTCATAAGTGATCTTGCTGTCACCTCCCTGTCATGTTAAGAAGGTATTCGAAAATGACCTAGTCTTATTTAACTCTGGTCCTTTGCATAACTGCTTGTTCTTCCTTACCACCTATCCCTTGCACGACTTAATCAACAGCTGTCATGGCTCCCCTCTTCCAGGAAGCCCCTCCTTGGCTACGTCTGGTGCCCTTGTGGGATCCCTTGTCACTGCCTTGACCAATCTAGGCTGTCACTGATAGGTCTGGTGATACCAGGGAGTCCCTATATTGGAGGAAACCCACTCTAGAGGGCTGAGTAGGGGCTAGAACTCAGGCTGCCCGTTCTTCAGGAAACAGAACCTCAAGACGAGGTGTTGTTGTTATGTGCCGTCGAGTCGCTTGCGACTCATAGCGACCCTATGTACAACAGCCCTAAACTCTGCTCTGTCCTGTGCCAATCGCACTGTCTCT